TGGGGGGGTTCCGGCGGCGCTCGGCTTGGGGGGTGGGCGGCGCTCGGTTGGGGGGTTCGGGGGGCGGAGGTTTTTTTTGCTGCTTGGGGCAGCAAAAAAGCTAGAGCCGGCCCTGCTCCTCCCCTACCCCACCTGCTGCTGGAGCCGAGTCATGTGGAGAGCGCGCGCTGCCCTCTGACTCTTGGGCCTGGTGGCAGGGCCGCAACCTTCCTTCAGCCTTTCCTCTCACGTAGCAGTGTGGGGTCCCCCCCACACCTCATTAGCGTTCACAATCTAAGCACTCACAAGCCCCCAAGGGCTTCATTAGTAACCAAGCAGCAAAGGGTCTGACCACCTGGAATGCGGCTTTCGGGAGAGGCCCAGGACTTGACAGGAAGCCCCAGTAAAAGGTTGTTTCAGTGTCTCAGCCATAGCCCATTGTAAACCACACGCCTTAGGCTGCGTCCACACTATAGCTCGGGGTGCGATTCCCCTGCTCGCGTACACGCACTAGCTCCCACCAGGCTAGCGCAAGCAGGGGAGCCGCAGCAGCATGGGCAGTGGCTGTACAGTCGAGCGGGCGAGGACCAGAGCTGCCTGAAATCAGTGTGTAGGTGCTCGGCACGGCTCTGCCATGCCTCTGTCGCCGCTCTCTGTGCTACCGCGGCTAGCCTGCTATTTATACTTGCACTAGGCCAAGGAGTGCTAGTGCGGATACATGTACACGAGCAGGGGAATCATATCCCCAAGGTAGTGGAGACGTAACCCTAGTCTACACCGGCTGAGTTAGACCCCCCCAGTGCAGGTGGGTGGGCTCAACATGAGGAACAATGACATACAACTAAAAAAATCTCAGCTAGGAAAAGAACAGCTTCCATTTTCATCCTGAGCTGCCTGTTTCCATTGCTGCGTTGTGGTAATTTGCCCTTTGAGCAAACATAGGCCAGGTGGCAAGAGTAAACCTCCAATGATTCACCAGGGTGGGACGAGTCAGATGTGTGTGTATTGGCATGTAAATGAAGGGCAACATCAGGGACCACCATGGTCCAGCAGGGACCACCGTGATCATCATCTTCCTGTGTAACAGAGGCCTTAAGACTTCCCTGATGCGATTCCTGTTTGAACTACAGCAGATCTAGTTCATGGTGTCGAGGGCTCAGACCTCCACGTCCTTAATAAAATCCGGATTTTACCTGTAAGTCTCTGAGGGAAGTCACAAATAGACAGGAACTAACTTAAATGCAGTATTTCTGGAGGACACAAGCAAATTTATACATTTACCATGTAAATCAGGAGTAAAGCCGCCGAAGCCAAAGGAGTTACAGTGGGGTAAGTAAGAAGAAAATCAGAACCATGGACTTAGGAAAAAAAAGCCTCCCACCGTTTAGGGTTACAGAGATGGAAGGCTGCGCTGATAGAATTTACATGACATGCAGAAACGCATCACGCGTCAAAGGTGGGCAGGAAGTGAAGGCAATTCACAAAGCATGAAAGGGGCTGATGGAATCTCTGATCGCAGAACTTTCCACGCCAATTGTTAAAGCAATAACGGTCACGTCAAAGCAACAGGACCCAGCAGGGGTGACTCACATTAATATTACAGCCTGAAATTAACACACCCCTACGATAAGAGTCAATATGGCAGAATGTGGTTAAGATTCTTCCTCTTCAGCCACATAGCTGGAAAATATTTCTCTTTCATTTCCAAGTCAATTTCAGAAGTTAAAGAAGTGATGAGACTATTCGTATTTCAGCAATTACAAAGCAAAGTTCTCAAATAAAATAATCCTTTTGCTTTACCCTTTCCAACCCTAATTTAAACATGCTGGTCCAAGCGGGTGCTTTATGTGCCACCCCACTCACCCACCCATACTTCGGTATATCTCCAGAAGGAAAACAAAGGGAACACAGAAAGGCAACAGTTTGTCAGTCAATTTGCAATCAGATTTTCACAGGCCAAGTTTTCTAAGGGTACATCTACACTACAGGGGGGAGTCGATTTAAGATACGCAAATTCAGCTACGTGAATAGCGTAGCTGAATTCGACGTATCGCAGCCGACTTACCCCGTTGTGA